CTCATTGCTTATGGTGTTCGGTATGTTGATCATACAGCTAATGTAATGCAGCTCAAATATTTAGAAAAACAAACACAATAGAATAAATGAATAACGTAATGTAAATATCGATTTATTGACTAGTGTGTTTGGGATATAGGTTATTCTATTATTAACAGCCGAATTAGTAGCAGTGTGGAAACATTTTTTTTTACGTTTATTGGCTATTGCTACACTGTATTTGATCATTCTCGCCAGATGGCGGTACTTTACACTGATTCCCGTTATATTGCAGGAATGGCATGGGTTGCATACATTGATTGATAGTGTGTTGAAAAATATACAGCTGAACTGAAAAAAGTAGCATTTTTCTATGAAAAGTGTGCTATACCTTAAAGGTTTACTAATTTGAATCGTTAAACCCTTGAAGTTTCAGCGAGAACCATGAACTAAAACCAGTGTTAATACTGTCATGCGATATTGTTATTGTTACTGTGTTAGAAGGGTGACCATGGACTGAATTGTCTTCCAATAGCATTTTCATATGCAAAATAGGAGATCAAAGTTAGTATAATCACCTTGAATACAAGCTTGAAATTTATCAGCTTTTTGACAGAGTGTACGTATTGCATCGAAATCATCTGGTAAACCAATGACCATTGGATAGAGACTGTGGTGGCATAATGCATTGAACGGTCTTTAAATATGCGGAGTTACTAAAGTAACAGGTGAAATCGCATGGCGATCCAAACCTCGCGTCCAGGAATAGAAAATAGAGAAGGTATCATCTGGGTTTCACCTTCATATATCTGAAGATTGACAAACTCACTATAACTTCGAAACCATGACATATGGTAGCCTGGAACTTCTGTGAATGCATACCGCACCGTTCCTTCTTTACCACGAATACGTTTGAGTCTAGCTCACCATCAGAGTGTTATATGTAGAACTTCGGACCTTTTCTCAGAAAACTGAATACTACTTCTTTTAAAGTCCACGAAAAAAATTCCAAGTACAAAAGAAAGGAAAGTAGTGAATTAACGATAATGTCTTCTACCATAAACTAGTTGTGTTGCGAAAGAGTCAAGGTAATGTGTTTTTTTTTGACTTGGCCTGAGAACAACGGGCACTTTCTCAGTAATGTTTTAACAGAATTAAAAAAACATCTGTGATTCTTTTCTATAGTTTTGGGTAACAATTTTGTCCGGTGATATGATGAAGTATTTTGAGCACATGTTTATGATGATTGTGACTATCCGATAGAAGAACAATACTCATTGATTCATATCGATAACGATTCTGTCCGGTATAAAGACAAAGTTGTTTAGGAACGTCAATTAATTCAAAACAAGATTATTGCTTGTGTCATTTTTGTCTGCAAACAAATAATAATGAAGTATATAAAGGAATTATCGCCTTTCCAAGTAGATAGTTTAATTCCTGCTTAAAAACAAACCCTTTCGACCTCCTATATAGAGGTCTTCGCTAGTGATAATAAATGCAATAAAATATATACAAAATAAAGACAGAAATAGTTAAATTTTGTTACATCTAACTAACTTGCTGGCAGGAAGTTCCTGCCTACGGCAGATTTAAGAATGTAGTGTGACTGACTACTTACAACGTTTTGTTCTTCTTAATCGCACGTTTTCCTTTTTCTTTTGCATGACATACTCATTTTCTGTCTCTCTCTCCAGCGCCAAAAAAAAGTAGAGATGGGCTTAACGAAGTTGAATAGAACGAATACTATTCCTTTTAATTTGAAGTATACGAAGCGACAGAAAGATGAATATTCTCATTTTCGTTCTTTCCATTATTATGTCTCATTACGAAGATCAACTATTCGTATATCGTTTGTTCTCAGTCAGAAAACAAACGGAAAACACACACTATATTATCACTGGTTTATGAGTGAATATAGACGAAAGTATCGTGAATAAAACAAATATGTGATACGGCTGGTTTGGACTAAATTTAATAATGAGCTTCTTCCGTAAGAACAAATCTAATAGCGTCAATTTCAGACAAGATTGATATAATCAGCCTTTGTGTTCTGTGTTCATGTGACCATATTTATATTCGTGAGACTTGCTCCTTTAAAAGACGATTAAAAGAGCACATGCGAAACGTAAGACAGAAAGATATTAAAGGTGTTCGGCTATCAGGATCTGGGTCCAACGTAGGGCAGGGAAGACGTTTTAATTATTAATTCGGTACAAACTACGAGTAGCATTACCACTAGTCACCACGTAACGTACAGATATCATGAAACTAGCTATAATTTACCCAAACAGAAGAGAAAAAAATGTAAAGAATGATTGATTTTGAACGAATATTACTCTCTTTTACACAATCCTGTTTCTATTCAACTTCGTTAAGCCCATCTCTACTTTTTTTTGGCGCTGGAGAGAGAGACAGAAAATGAGTATGTCATGCAAAAGAAAAAGGAAAACGCGCGATTAAGAAGAACAAAACGTTGTAAGTAGTCACACTACATTCTTAAATCTGCTGTAGGTAGCAAGTTGAGAACATGTGCTCAGAACATTTGACCATATCATCGGATCGAAAATTTTTAAAAGCTTGTTCAGTCAAAACCGATTGTTGGTAGATTCGTCCGTGATTGATTATGTGTTACGCAATAACTCTTGGATCGGGGTGGGGTACTTTAGTTAAAAAATTTTTCCATGCTTTTGGTTAAAAATTTTTCAAAAAGTTACCAAAGGCAAACGATGTCGAAGAATTTTTCTAAAGTACCCCGATCCATAAGTTATCGCATACCACATAAGCAATCATCGAGAAGGCGAATCAGCAATCACTTTTGACCGAACGAGCTTTAAAAATTTTTCGATCCGGTGATATGGGTGATATATGTTTAGACTGCTGATTTTACTCATTAAGATACATCGGTATAGTACATTGTTTTGAATACGTACATAAAAGCCAAGATTATAAATATAATGAAGAGCAATCGGGCACGACAATGTATCTTAATAGAGCAACAATGTTACCAAAGAAATGTTTCAAGTTTATGTTTTGTGTAAAAACCAAATTGTGGAATGGGATTTCGGAATTGCATAATCATTTCTTATTGTGTAATTATTTATTGCATAATAGTTACGCCATATCCACACTATATAAGCTCTCGATTCCGTGGGAGTTAACAATTCAGATTCGAAATAAACTACTACGAAACACGCTTGGACTTAGTTATCAATATAAACAGGGCTATCAGGAGTATCTTTTAACATCAGTTTCATCCGCTCTTATCTTAAAAAGTGAGATTATAAATGTGTTTGTAGGTTGGATTTTGTGATGATGAGTTAAGCCTAATATTTTCGAACCATATCTCATTAGAAACAGCGTCAAGAACCAAACAAAATGGCGTGGTTTCTTGAAATTGTCTAAAGTCCAGATTTTCGTAGTAAGAAAGAATTTTTTCCAAAATCTTCCGGCATCATTCCTCCTGTTTGTACAATTTTAACACTGTCATGCACCAAATTGTTTTATTAAATGTTTGTTGTTTTATAATAATAATTCTGTTCTAACTGTTGAACCAAAACAATTTTGATTATAAACAACAGACAAAAAAAGAAACAAAACTTTTACATAACATCATTGTATGGAGTGGTTTATTCATATGCATTGACACTACCAAAAAAAACATCAAAATCTATAGAACAGATATAGAAGAATTTCTGCGAACGTCCGAAAAGCGGCAGGAAACGTATAAAAGCGAAAAATTTCTTGATTCAAAGCGGAAATGTTGGTTGCTATTAACATGTTCTGTCTGATTTTTCATACTATACAAACGGGTAGATACGATCGCCATTCCATTCCTACTTAATGCTCTTTTCACTTTTAGTCTGATTACTACAGAGGTTATGGTATTAGTGCACAACATATTGATGGAACGATGTTTAATCAGGAAGATGAAAAAGACAAGCAATCGGTCGAGGATTATTATGTTTTTGAGGGTAGTTGACTGTTACCAGAAATACTATTTCATAAACAAACAAATTGTGCGCGTTAAATTTTGCTTTTCGAACTACCGTTCTTTCCTTTCTATCAATAAAATTATCTCCCAACTAAATTTGTAAAATTTTGATGCATTCAAGAAGGAGACAAGCTATTAGCTTGATGTCTTAACAAACGTCATGCAGCAAGTTTCCGATCCATAACTATTGTAACCTAAGAAAAAGAAAACACCGTCAAATCCTAATACTCTTAGAGAATACTGATTTTCGACATTGAACAAGTTTTCGACACACATCGACAGATAGCGGTTACTACCAATATATCACTTCATATTCTATTCTATTCTTCCAATTTCTGCGCTATGATCTCAGAAGACTTTTACCGCATATCTTTCTGCGCATCTCAAACAAAAATGACGCTGAATGTGATTCAGTCGTCACAACATTTATAACGATAAAAAACGTCAAGTGTTTTCACCCATGAAGCTTTTTCACCTTATGATAAGCGCAAAAAGAAAAAAAAGATAATGTTGTTATCCTTCTTTTGTTTTACTGATTTATTTTCCATTTTATTTTTAAAAGCTGCACGCAGAACAATTACGAGTCGAAGGTAAACTTAAGTAATTGTTAGTTTACCTCACTAGTTCTTCAGGATCTATAGTAACAGCAGAAAAAATTGTGTCCTTTTGAAATAAAGATCACGGCGTGAGAAGGAGTGGAGAGAAATTGTCCTGAACTTGAAACGGGCATTTTCAGGATCCTCGCTAACTCAAAAACAACGTAAGGGAACTAGAATCATTCTTCAAAAAAGGATCATAGCCTACTCACATCCATATTCGACGCTTCTCGGCAAGAAAACAAAACAATTTGTAACTTTTCAAAGAAGCGCTATGGAGACGCATCATTTTAGGATTTTCAGTAGCACACTACCTTCTATCGGTTGGCATAAAAATCATTAAAAAAAGGAGGGAATCGTGTTGGCACTTTCTCTCGTTAGAGGGATACGCTTTCTTTATACTTTAAACTCTTTTTTAGAACAGCAGAATTATGGCTAGCACTGGAAGTGGCTCACGCTCACATGGAAAATTAGCTTTAGTCATTGGTAATAACAGTTATAGTAAGCATTCATTAACCAAATCTGTTAACGATGCAACTGATTTGAGTGACACATTACGAAAAATCGGGTTTGATGTTGAACTCGGTATTGATTGCAACCACCAAAAAATGACACAATTAATTGAAGGGTTTGCCAGTAGAATTAAAAATCAAGATTTGGTTCTATTCTACTTCTCGGGTCATGGTGTTCAATGGCAAGAACAAAATTATCTGTTACCTGTAGATGCTGACGAAAAAATCAGAAAAGAAGCCGATATCAGAGAGAGCGCTATCAATGCTCAAAGAATATTAGAGAAATTTGCAGCTCAAACATTGTATGTAACAGTATTCATATTGGACTGTTGTAGAGAATATGGGGTAGAAAATCTATCAACATTTGGAAATTTCAAGGGCGCATCTGGATTACGTCCGATGAAAGCACCTGGCGGTTCTCTTATTCAGTTTGCTTGCGACGCTGGCGCTGTAGCAACAGATGGGTATGGAACAACAGATCGAAATGGATTGTATATAAAACATTTACTTCAGCATATAGCTACCCCGAAGAAAGACATTGATAAAATATTTGCTGCAGCTGCTACTAGTGTTTATCAGGAGAGTAACCGGAAACAACAGCCATTTCGTGTTAGTTCCATTATGATAGATGAACCCATCTATTTAAATTAAGAGTACAAAGGTAAGAAGTTAAATAAGTGAAAAAGCTATGTCTATGACTATGAGCCAACTGATTGATGATTGTATTGTGAAAGAATTTTAAGTTGTCATGTCGAAAACTCAGCAGTTTCAGTCGCCGATTATCAGCGTACATCGTTAGCTAAAAAGGAAGTAATACAAAAACAAAGACACTGTTTGATTTTGACTATATAGAAACGAATCTCATTTTAAAATCTGTGTTAGAAATCTCCAAATATCTACCTTATTATTAAGTTATATTATTGTTATGATTTTCTTTTTCAGATGGATTTTTTTGAGATGTTAATATAAAGTGAGCTGCTGTTGGAATTTGCTGTTTATCATTTTGCTTTCCTTTAGAACAGTATCAACCATAGTAATTATTTGCATTGACTTGTCGGAGTATATCCGAGACACATGATCATTTCGTGTTATAATTGATTTCTTTTCAGCATCACGAACTGAATTATGTGCAGCATGAAATAAAGCTAATGTACGTTTAGTTAAATCTTCAACAATAAATATTTTTGATTGTTTTTGTTTCAATAAATATGTTGAGCTGATAAGGAACTATGATCGGTCTGGTATATCCATCCCTTAGCTGGCCATCACCATGACAATTTTCAATTTCATTCGGTGATAAATCTAATTGAAGTTATGTATTTGTAAAATTCGTTGCTTTGTTAATGTGCCGCTAATTCAAAATTTCAGCACTCCTTGTTTTTCCTTGGTCCACACTATTCGACGCCAAATTTTGCGCTGATTACCAATATCACCTTTTTACTTCGAAAAAGTCAAACCTTTGTGGAGAAAAA